AAATACCGGTAGGTTTTGAACCAGATGTAAGCAGGAACTTTTCTGAGGATGCATATGTTGACCTTCCACTGTTCAACCTCCTGTGTAGTACCATGTGAGAATTTCAGGCGAGAAGATGGGTTTAACGATGAACGTGTTGCTGTCAATCGTTGTGTTCTTGCTGCTGGTATCAAAAATTCTTCCGCCGACGTCTCTATCCATTCCCCTCGTCGCTAAATATCTGCTGCTCACCTTTGTGCTCAATATCATCACCATTCTGATCACCGTCGTCATCTGTAACATCTATTTCCGATCTCCAATCACTCATCGTCTACCGCCGTGGGTTCGAAGCGTCTTTCTAGATGTGAGTTTTTTTGTGAATGACACTTGACACTTTCTTCTAAAAATTATGTCACCCTCTTTGAAAATCGGATTAGTAAATAGTTCTGGGTAGCAACGATAACAGTAATCATCAACAAAGAAATGACTTTTCAGTGGTTACCGTTGTTGCTGTGCATGCAACGGCCAAGGCGAAAGAATGTTCTACATCAGAAGAAGAAGAAGGTAGAAAGCAAATCCAGTCATGAGCTCACCACGCAGAATCACCACCCACATTGCAGGGCCGCCGACAATGCTCGGTATGATCTCCTCTGTTCGTATTTCTCTTAGCAACCCTTGATCTCTGGGCTTTTATTTGTCGAAAAGGCCTTTTTGGCGGTTGTAATAATTTGATCCTGGTCATGAACCTCATGGTTCATTATACAGGGGTGGCCAAAAAAAGAGACACTTCACTCCACATTCAAAACGGAATTATTTACGCGTCGCGAAACCAAACCAAATGACCCCAACTGAATATTGAAGAGCACGTTATAATCTATCAACAAGCTACACAACAGCCTTCTACACCGACGACATCAGAAGATTTTCCCACGGAAACATGGTGCACGGTACGAGCTCAACGAGGTCGTCGAGATACCATAGACGATTACGACGTCTCTGAAACGCTGGTCAAAAGCGGTTTTGCACAGTCACAGCTAATGTCTCTGGGAAGCTATTCAACAGTTCAAATCCATTGAAGAAATTATGCAGCAGCTTCAGGTCGGAGCGATTACGGTAAGCCTCGTTGAGCTCGACGGTGACGGTAGATGACGTCATATTCTGGAAGACGGCAGGGGCAGTGAAGGAGGGCTTGCTTCTGTTTACGGAGGAACACCTAAGGAATATTTCGCCATAAAACTTTCATTAACATCGGCTCCCTGTGCGACGAAAAGTTCGATGATGTGCGCCATGGGCTAAGTGTCTCTTTTTTTGGCCACCCTTAGAACCTTCGGCCAGTTCATCCTCGACAGCGAAAAAAAGGGCGTGACATCCAAGCATGAACGTTTAGCTTCAGCTTTCGAGCGATCCCACTTGGGGACATCGTATAATCAGAGGAAAGCAAACCTCCTCGGTCAATCGTAGTCAACTAACCAACAAGGGCTCTCTTATGTCCCTTGCGGAAGAAATAGGTGCAGGTAAAGGGAATAAAAGAAATCACTAGTGGTACTTATAGACCCCGAAGCACATTCAAAATAACCTTACCGCATCCCGTGCGACTGGTAAAATTTCCTATCTTTCGAGAAGAGAAAAAACGGTTGGGAAAAGGCTCCTCATAATTTATTTTTAGGGGGAAAATATGGCAGTTCGAATCATGATCTTCAAAAATGACCCTAGAGCTTCTCTTCATGGTTTTCGAAAGGTTTTATGAGCTTGCCGTCTTTGTCGCTGGATGTTGTAGCTGGGCAGCGTAACAAAAAACAGGGTTTAAAAATCCCTTGGAAAAAACCGTAAGAAATTGTGCGATCCTGCAGAATTTTGGCGATCTCGCAAGAATGCCGCCAGTTTGTGAATTTTCGCCGCGACCATGCCGGCAACAGTCAAGCCATTGGAAGCCGCGATATCAGCTGCTGGAGGCAATTCCGTTCACCAACTCATCAGCAACACAGAACAGGAAACGATCGTCAATATTCGTAGCACTAACCAGAGCAAAGCCGCAAACGTCCTGCCTTCGTTTCTGACCAGGCTTAAAGGCAATGATGTAACGCGATTCAGTGCCTTACAGAAGGACGACCGGATCGTGCTGCAGTTTGCGCCCGCCCGCACTAAAGTCGCCAGCGAGGTGATGGAGGTATATACTTTTATGTTTTGCTTCGCTGACTGATGTTTTACTGATTTGCTGATTACTGTTCGCTCTGATTGATCCTCTTTGAAGGAGGATTCCACGATAAAAACGAAGGTCGAAGAAGGGGAAACTTTAGTGGAGAGACAGGCGGACCTCCTAAGGGTGCGGACCAACACGCAATTCGCATCGAAGGATATGCCCCGGCGATCTAGCATGGCCTTCCCTTGGCGCAGTTGGCCCGGAACGCCCACCGACTATCTAATCACTCGCCGCAGGTCTATACGCGGCGAGTGATTGAGAGAGCGTTAGCGTTGAAGAGGGCACAACGATGAGAGTCGCATCAATGCGCAAATCAACGGGCAAGGAAGGGGTCCCATTTCTCGGGTTCTGGGCCGTTTCATGGTTTCTTCTTCATCCCTGCTCCACTGACCACCTCTACCCCTCTTATTTCCAATAAGCGACCTTTTCCTCGCAGAATCCGCATTTGAGCTACCGTCCAAAGATTTCTTTTTTGTACTAATATATGTTTCTTTCATCTTATTTTTTCATCTTAACATCTTTTTTGTTTTCAGTGATGGCGCTCCGCTGATTCGAATTAGTCATCCATCTTGCGATGATCTTTCTCCAGATGCTCAACGAGCCGTTGATGCTATCGAATTCATCACAGAAAATATGAAAGATGAGGAAACCACGAAGCAGGTTCGCTTTCGAAGCTGGCCAGTATTTCGGACTCCGATCTATATTTATTCAGCCATTATTGGTCAATTCACAGCTGTGATAAGCGATACATGGAGTGACTCCCGGTGGTACTAAGCAGTTGATTGAAGCTTTTTAGTCTAGCAAAGATGTGACCAAGATCTTAGTTTTAATCACTTAGTTCATAGCTGGAAGTTACGCTAAACAGGATCGCTAGCTAGAATTATACTCAGCCTTCATAAAATTACGAGATTCTTAACTATCCAGCTAATGCATCTGAAATGATTTTACTTTACTGAATAAGTGTGATGTTGATGGGAACAGATCTTGATTGATCTGCTGAAGTAGCGCCATCTCTGTTTGCTGAACTAACCGGGCTGAGGAAAAAGTAGAACGAATAGTAGAGAACACAATTCGAAGGCACTTCGGCAAAATGTGACCATCTTTGGTGATGAACACTTCAGTTGTCTCAGTAAGGCAGCTGTCAGACTTTGCGATCCATGGATTTTATAGCGAATCGCGGAGTACCAGCGCCGGGTTCGATAGAGGTTCCAACGCTCAGACAATGTTCGAAAGTGGCACAGTCCTTCTCATTCTTCCTCCTCTTTAAACGTCCGCCAACGTGTCTCGCGAGCTCTCATGCCCTGCGAGCATGGCGGAAAGGTGCGAACAAAAAGGCCCCAACTCTCTTTAGAAAGCTGGTCTGGCCGCTGGTTACATTGTTCCGCACCGTGGCGCAGAACTGCTTGTGGAGTGCAGTCGCTAGCGAAGCCCACACGATTCGCAAAGGTCTGAGGCCGACCTATTTGTAGAGACGATACCCTCGATGAAACATGTTCACCGCCCTGCATTTCAGTATCGTGACGACTGGAAGTTTGTGGCAATGGTAGTGGATCGTGTTCTTCTCTACGGTTTCTTTGGAATCACCCTAGGAGGAACCATAGGTATTTTGCAAGTTATTCTTTGGGCAGTAGTACATCTCTGATTTCTTTTGTGTCATACTCTAAACTACGATGGCACCGTGATTCAGGCATCTTGTTCTCTGCACCGACAGTCTTCGAACGAGTCGACGAGCAAAAGCATCTACAAAAACTTATTCAGCTTTACAAACAAGGAATTCCAGACAATGATACCTACACACCGCTATACTAAAGGCTCTACTACATACGATATTTCTAGCGTTCCCTCTGGAGAAGAACTCTCATGATCTACAGTCTTGAAAGTATTGCGTGGTGTTCTGTAAGAGATTGATTGACACGATACTGCTTGACTTTTGAATGATCAGGACTAGTACCGTGATCTGTACTGTGTTAGAAAAATACTACAAAATGTAGATGGGCATTACTAAAATCGATTCGAAGTAGCTATATAGGCTGTTCTTCTCTGGAAAGGGATACCCGTAAAGCTGCGTCGATCCTGTCGATATTGCAAGAGGGTACTGAACGTTGAGTTCGGTACCCTCTTGTGTAGTACCATTGTACGGTTCAAGCTGCAGTTGAAGGCAAACTCCGGGATGAAACGTGGGAGTTCTCTGTACAAATATGAAGCCCTGGGTGCTAACTGAATCGAACCTGGAGAAAAAAGCAGGAAATACCCCCAAAAAGTCCAAAATTATAATTCCTCTTCGTTAGTTACTTACAAGCCAGGGCTGGGAAAGATTACGTGTTGGACGTGTTCACAGCAACTGTTGGCTTTATGCCATCAACCACTCGGCTATAACAACTCAGCGATGAGAATTGATTTCTTCCAACTTTCCTTATTTTTCTGTTTATTTGCGCTTTTTGTTTGTTTTTCTTTTTTTTTGATTTTCATTAGAATGAGTGCAAAGTTCCCTGTAATGGCCGTAACATAGGCTTTGATATTGAAGTTGACAGTTGAAATCCGCCAATATCCTCCTACGACCTTCCAAATAACAACTTAACATCTAGTGTTCCATGTGGTTGTTTGGAAGGTCGCATGGAACAGTGGGCGGGCTCAATGGGGTTGGGGCGGCGCCAATGCTCCAACCTAGGCTCCTAGCGCCTAAACCTTGTCAAATCGCCCCGCCACTTCTGCACATGGTCTGCTACATTGGAAAGGAAAAACCTAAATTTCGCCAGAAGTCCCGAACTTTGCCTTAAACCATAGCATTACAGGGTGATATTCGAAAAGTGTTTCAGTCATATTGCAGAGCGACTGAGTGAAACTAAGAAGGTAAATGTAGGGTAAATTCAAGGTAGGGCTAATTCTGTTGCTGTTGTCTTGAGCTTCTTGAAATTTAACCCAGTTTCTGTTATATTTTCTGACGAATGTAATAAATGGCTCAATTCGTGTTCTCGTGTAACATGTGTACGAAGCACGGCCAACCGTCACGTCAAAGGCAAAGGTAGGACTCAGCCTAACCGAAGATTTCCTTCACGTCGACGTGCGAGGTCAGCAACTCTATATAGGTAGGTCGCGACAACTTAGCACCTTGAAACGCTTCACTTATCTTGGAGTAGTTTTGAAGCCACAAGCCAAGATGTTACAGATCTTTATTCGGCTAACGTTTCGGCTTGGTCGCCTTCGTCAGAGCCTGGAAAAGTCAAAGATCACTGCGACCCACCGCAGACATCATTTCCGACTTCGAAATAGTCCCCATAGACCAGAAGAATCCATGGGGGGCATCATAAACCACAAGCACCAGCTGACTCACCTTAGATGTACGGCCGGACTTTGTTGAGACCACCGCTAAACTGACTCACTGTGGGTGGCCTCTGGTGACCTAGCCCATCGGCAAGGAGCCGACGGCGTTCTAAGCCCGCAAAGGTCAGCAAAAGGTGCGAGTTCACTGGTTATGGCTAGGCATTCATCTTTCCTGTTTATTTTTGGGTTTTTAGCGCTTATCCAAAAGGCCTCCAAAGTTTTGCGCGCTGAAGTGAGGGGCTCTCGCGTCAGGATCCTCACAGTGACCTCAAACTCCGCGCCTCCATGGCACTGCAACCGATGACCACCCAGGGGGGTCCCAGGCCTTGATCTTCTTAGCCCGTCTAGGTGTTCCTTGATCCTGGAACACAAGGGCCGCCCCGTTTCCCCGATATACTCTTCCCCGCAGAGCGCACATGATATGAGGTAGACCACACACGATGACATACAGTCGCCTTCCTGCCCGTAGGGACAGATGACACACTGGGGGGTCTGGCAAGTGCGATCGTACCAGCGATTCCGAACTAACTGGCGCTTCAGGTTTGTGGGTGGGATCTCGACCACCCTGACTAGGTCTTCGAGACCACACCTGCGCACGGCCGTTCTCACAGCCAAGCTGATCCTGTCGTTCACGAAGGGGAGGCAGAAGGCTACCTTTTCCTCATCCTCGTTCGCCGGACGATGCGGCCTTCTTGTGGGTGGTCCAAGCAGAGATTTCCCTTTTGGTGGGTATCCGTTGGAGAGAGCTATGCTCTCAGCCAGCTCCAAGGATTCCTTTCTTTCTTGTTCTCCCGATGAGACCATCGCTGCCGTCCTGAACATGTTATTAGTGATGGCGCCCTTGATCTTGCTAGGGTGTGCCGACCGGAAATGGACCAAAATGTTTTTGTTACTGGGTTTTCGGTACCATTTGGTCCGGTAAGAACCCGCGCCTGAGCTGGACTTGCACGTTTAGGAATGGGAGCCAGCTATCTTTGGGCTTCTCCCTCGTGAACTTGATGATGCAGCTTGGCTGTTGAGGAGGTTGAAGCATGTGTCCATTTCCCTTTCAGATGAGCAGACGACGAAACAGTCGTCTATGTACCTACAGTATAGGGCAGGTCGGCGAGCCAGCAACGGTTTCTCGATCTTGGACATGTAAGCAATGGCTAGTACTGGTGCCAACCGCTGACCCATGGCCAACCCTCTGATCTGCTTGTAGTATTGCCCAGACCACCTGAAGATGGAGCATTCGAGACACTCGCTGACAAGTGTCATTACGTGGGTGGTCGAGAGGCCGTACATGTTTATGGAGGCCTCATGTTCGCTCAGCAGCTCAAAGGTGGCCTGCATGGCATCCTTGTTGGAGACATTGGTGTAAAGGGAGGTGACGTCGAAGGATTCCATGACGTGGTTCCGTCTGAACCTGGCCTCACGCAATCGGTCAAGGAACTTGGTGGTATTAGTGAGGTGGGCCGGGACAAACGGTAGCAGTTGCACCAGTACGAGGTTCAGCAGCCACGATATTCTATCGGTAGGTCCTCCGATGCTGCTTATTATAGGGCGAACCTGGATGTTCGAGGGATTGTTTGAAATAGGGGTGGTCTGCGAGAGCTTGTGTGTTTTCAGGAGGACATAGAGGACCGGACAAATTGGGAGGTCGCATTTTAGACGTGTTCCCACTGATTTTGGCAGTTGTGCGGCCCGTACCACGTCCATCCAAGTCCCTTGGCTCACTTATCATTTTAATCGGTTAACACCCGGTCAACTCGTACCCTCCCCCCCCCCACCATTCGAAAAATCCTTCGTGTCGTATTGGTTGATCGGCTTGTGGTCCACTTCGCATCGTTACTTTCGTGTTTTAATGGACCACCAAATTGATCGTGACCCTTGCCTTTGAAGTGATTCAAGAATTTCTACGACCACAAGCCTTACAGGTGCCGCACCATGCGATTCCTCTCCCACAACTGCTATCATTTCACTCGACATATGAGTGAAGGAACTGCCAATGCTCTGCAGGTTGAGGCATAAATATGGTGAGAAGATTGAACTGCAGTAAATGTATTTACGAAACAATGAGTAGAGCTCATGATTAGACATTCAAGCTCGCCGTTGTCCTTTCTATATAAGCCTATCGTTTCATGGTTTATCATCTTTAGAATTTGTGAATGACTTCACTCTTACCAAAACGAGTGGGATTTCTGGTCTCGCTCGCTGGGATTCTTTCCGAGATCTACTGTATCCGAAGGATTTATCACGACTGTATTTCAGTACACGTGATGGTATTCTCTGATAAAGGTCGATTAGTTACGGAAGCAAAGCGTTGCTCGTGGAATAGTGTCAAAAAGCTACCGTGATTTAGTGAGGACCATGAGAAAATTGGCTGTATATTCGACATTACCACGATAAACGGTACGAAAAGTCTTACCTAGGAGGCGTGAAAAACAAGCTTGTAATACCATAGCGACAAGTTCTCTCGGATAGGGAGTTGAAAAGCAATGTTCAAAATATCGAGGGCTTGGTATGTATTCTATCTAGTCATCAACACTGATTCAGAGAGAAGTCGACTGTCTCACTAATGCTAGAGTCCTTCAATGATTGCACCTCGGAGCTTGATGCTAGAAATATTGATATCATTTATTTTGACTTTGAGAAAGTCTTTCGATAAGGTTGATCATTCAATCCTACTATGTAAGCTCGCACAAGTTGGCATTCACAGTAGAATAATTACCTGGATTGGAGAATTCCTCAAAAGACGTTCTTTTCAAGTCATGGTTAATGGCTCTTTCTCTAATATTAGAAAATTCTTTAGTAGGGGCCCCAAGGCAGTGTCCTTTTACCGATACTTTTCAATATCTATACCTTCGAGTTACCTTATTCATTGGAAAAGCTTGATGTAGGAGTAAAAAGTTTGCGGACGATTTAAAGATTTACTACCCAGTTTGTCCAAAATCGTCTCAGCTACAGAAGGCAATTGATGTTACTGTTGGTTGGTCGATTACTAATCGGCTCCCTCTTGTGTGTAAGTAAAACTATGGTACTTCATTTGGGTGAGTCTAATCCTAAAGTTCAATACCGAACCAATGGCACGGAACTCGCTGCAAGTGAATCTGTAAAAGATCTAGGTTTCCTTTTTGATTCAAAATTAAACTTTGAGGGGCACCTGAAATTTGGAGCTTAAGTCTAAAGACCCATTGCTTCCTATCAGTACGTACAAAGTTTATGTGATCTCAGTTCTTGAATACGGTACCGTGCATTTACTATCCTCATAAGAAAACGCTCTCTGACAGGCTGGAAAAGATTCAGAATAATTTCACACGGAAGATTTTCATTAGAGCTCTAGGTTTCACTTACAGAAGCATACCTCGTGGATTGGTTAGAAACAATATTCTCAATTTAGATCCGTTACATCTCAGAGAAAGAGAAACGACATTCTCATGGTACACAGCATTCCTAGTGAGCGAATGGATTTGAGTAGCCACTTGTTCTTCAAGCTTGTGCCGTCCAAG